TTTTTTTTAAAGATTTTATTTGACAGAGAGAGAGAGACAGCGAGAGAGGGAACACAAGCAGGGGGAGTGGGAGAGGGAGAAGCAGGCTTCCCGCTGAGCAGGGAGCCTGATGCGGGGCTCGATCCCAGGACCCTGAGATCATGACCTGAGCTGAAGGCAGACGCTTAACGACTGAGCCACCCAGGCGCCCCGTTACTGTGACTTTTACTATCGTTCTGAGAGTCTGTGCTGGAGATGTCAATGGCCAGTGCTCAGTTTGGCTAGCTCACTGAGTGTGAGTCTTTGGGCAGTCATGGAGCTGGTTACTAAGTCTAGAAGCTTCCACAGACAGGAGTGGTTTGGGCTGGGCTGGCGCCTTAGGAATTATTCAGAAAACATGTTAAAATGCCATTCCTGTTGCCTGCCCAGTGGCCTGGACAGGGCCTTGGGGTTATGTTTGACCACAGACGGGGGTTTCTGAAGGGTAGCCGCCCAGCTGGAGAACTCCTAAACTGGGTCAGACCCTCATTTCACTGATGGGGAAGCCCAGACCCGCAGGGGGACATGGCCTTGCCCAAATCACTGCAGCTTTTGGCAAAAGGGCAGCAACACTCCGAACCATCCACAGATGGCCCCTCTGGAGCCCCACATCCTCCCTGTGCATTAGCTGGGGCAGCAGGGTATGCTGTCTCCTCTCCTGGCCAGGAAGCAGGGCTCAGAGAAGTGACTAAGGAAGGTCACAAGGTTGGCTCAAGATCAACGCAGCCAAAGCCAAAGACGTAAAATGCATTAGTGAATAAGAATATGTTAGTAAGAGAATCCAGTCTATGGACAGGTGGGGAGCCCTGGCTATCTGAACCTTTTGTCATCCACACTCTTGTTTCCCAAACACAGAATAAAATAAATTAAGATAAGTGTGTTGACATATCCTTGCTATCTAAATCCAGTTGCTTTTTACACACATCTCTGAAACCAAATGGATTTAGAGCAGAGGAAGACACGTATTCTTACTGTGGATGAGAATATACTTAATGCTACTCAGCTGTGCCTTCCCAATCCCCACTAACCTCCACCCACAACAGCAGGGAATGAAGAAAACAGAGGAAAGTTCTTCGAAGTTCACTTATGCAGACAAAGTGAACAATAACACAGAAATCTATAAAAGCTGTTAAAAATCATTCTTTTCTGGACAGAATTCTGTACATTTTCCATAGATAGAGAAGTAAGATAAATTCAGCAAATTATTTTTCTGTATGATTTGGCTTTCTGTATAATTTGACCTCCAGTGTGCTGACTTTTGATGAGTTAACTTTCAGTACATCGTTTTGCTTCCTGCATGGCCAACAGGTGGAGGGGTGGACGTGGGAAGTTAGTGTCATATGTTGAGATCATCTAAATGATCAGGTCTTTGACATTTCCCTATATCTGCCTTTACCATTACAGCTTGTCTTGTTATCAAACATTCTTCCAGTTATCAGTTTGAGCGTGCCATATCCCCCCAGTAGGACCCTGACCTCTGTTACTTAAGGTCAGATCCCTTGTGGACAGATCGTGTGTATGTGCATGTGTGTTTCACCATTGTATCTCCAGGCCTGGAAGGATGCCTGCTCCGAAGTATGCCCTCACTATCTGTGAAATGGGTGAATGAATGAATGATATCTCTATCTCTATCTATCTACCTAACTGTCTACCTACCCATCTATCCATCTATATTTCTCTCTGAGAGTCCATAATTGTCTTTCCAGATTAAATCAACATGATAGATAGGGGAGCGCTTTTTCCAGCCACTAGGCACTCCGCACGTCCCATCAGGGTGGCTCTGGCCTTCTGGAGCATTTAGAGCAGAATGACCTTCTAAGAGCAGGGACCATACTCCATGTTTTGGGGTAGACAGTGGTGTGTCTGTCCTCCTCACCAGCATGGGAACCTCCCTTGGAAGGTTTCACTTGGTACCACGCACAGAGCCTCCCCGTCATAAGATCTTTCACACTGTAACTGAAATGCTTTGGTGGCATTTCCTTTCCCTCAAAGATAAAGCTCTTTTATGGTGCCTCATTTATTAGCTGTCACGGCCACTGCCTCGGGGTTATGCACACAGATAAAATATGCAGCCGGAAACTGCCTGCCCAGTTTCTCTTCCCCTTCACCTAATTTCAACTCCCAGTCAAGCCGCCTTGAATTGATTTGCTCATCACAGAAGCTGCCTCCGGCAAACTCCTGGTTTCTTTCCTGGGAGGATGATCCTTTCCACTTAATTCTGGAAGGGCAGCCTCAAACAGGGAGTCTCTCAGTCCCTTATCTATCAGCATTTCGGAGCCACACTTTCCCAGGATGGCTCCTCCTGGGATCTGCTCCTGTCCAGTTAAGATGATCTCCCAACCCAAGTGGCAGCCTCCCTTAGGTAATTTCCCTGGGGCTTAAGCTGTGCATTGTCAATGTGAACTGAAGAGAAGTTTCTAGAGCCTGGCCGATCTTACCACGGGTGAGGCTTGGCAGCTGGGTGACATGGTGGGGCTTGGGGAGCAGAGGGTAAGGGGCCCCACTGATCTGGGATTAGGGAAGGTAGGTGGACCTCCCTTTAGGGAGGCTCCCAGATGCTAGGGAGAGCTTAGAATCTAAACCGCCAGAAACCCAGCAGGCTCTGTGATCAGAAGAAAACCGTGTTTGCCCACAATGGGAGTAAAAACAACAAATCTAACACACCTGTGGGGTTCCAAGCGTGCAGCCAGATTTCAGGACCCCGGGCTGTAGCCGACACTACGAGTCAGAAGCTTAACCGACTGCGCCACCCAGCTGCCCCAAACTTTCTCTTAAAATTTACAGGAGGGGGCGCCTGGGTGGCTCAGTTGGTTAAGCGACTGCCTTCGGCTCAGGTCATGATCCTGGAGTCCCGGGATCGAGTCCCGCGTCGGGCTCCCTGCTCAGCGGGGAGTCTGCTTCTCCCTCTGACCCTCCCCCCTCTCATGTGCTCTCTCTCTCTCTCATTCTCTCTCTCAAATAAATAAAATCTTTAAAAAATAAATAAATAAAATTTACAAGAGGGCGCCTGAGTGGCTCAGTCATTAAGCATCTGCCTTCAGCTCAGGTCATGATCCCGGGGTCCTGGGATCGAGCCCCACATCGGGCTCCCTGCTCCGCGGGAAGCCTGCTTCCCCCTCTCCCACTCCCCCTGCTTGTGTTCCCTCTCTCGCTGTCTCTCTCTCTGTCAAATAAATAAATAAAATCTTTAAATAAGAAAAAATAAAATTTACAAGAAAAATAATTCTTTGCTCATAGGTCATACGAAATAAGCTATGGGCCACATTTGGCCCACATGCCATAGTTTGCTGACCCCGGACGATAGAACTGTCAGTTTTGTGAGGTAGTGAGTTCCCCACTGATTGAAGCACTCAAGTGATGGATTTCTGGCAGGAATGCACATCGTCCAGGGCTGTGCTTGCACTCCCACTGCAGAGGCGCGTAGTTGTGACAGAGGCTGTGTGGCCTGTAAAAATATTTATAGCTGGACCTTTACAGAAAAAGTTTGCCAATCCCTGCATTAAATAAATGAGTATATACAGGAAACATGAGCCAGTGAAGGTGTGACGAAGCAAGTAAACCAGGAGGATGTGTGTGGCTGTGTGTGTGCATGTATCGGCATGTGGGTGTGCACACGCGCATACTTGTGTGTGTGTGTGTGCCTGTGGGTGCTGATTTTGGATGAAGAGGCCGGGAGAGGACTCACCGGGCCTGACGTCTCATAGGGGGATTTGCACACCAGCCCGTAAGCCTTGTCTTTCTGGTCCACAGCCCAGTGTTCAGAGGCCTCGCTTGGGGCCTCTGGCTGCCCCCCCGCAGGGGTGCCCACATGAATGCTGCCCATAGAAGGGGTGATGGGGGGCCCTGTAGGACTGAGCACATTTACATGTGCCCTTGTCGGTCCTCTGGTCAATTCGCTGCCCCCGTCTTCCTCAGCCCTCTGATCCCCATCACAACACGCCGTGGGGATGTGTTCATGCGTGTGCACACACGTGTGCATGCCTAACGCCCTTCCCCCCCGTTCCGCAGCCCATTCTGTCATCCCACTGTAACAGCCTGCTGTCCGGAATCGGGGGCAGATGCTGTTCATCCGTCACGGATGGGACAGCACATGGAACGTGGTGGCCCACGAAAAGCGGCAACACAAAGGGAGAAACAGAAATTCCGTTCTATGTGTTCTGATAGGAACGTAGTGTTGTTTTCCTCAACATAGAAACCACAATAACCCCAGCCGCACCTGCCGGACAGACGTGCTCAGTTCCAGCCGAGGGGGACCTCTGTCTGGTGGGATCCCTGAGGACACAGACACAGAGCCAGGGAGTGGCGGGGCCATTTTATAGATGGGGAAACTGAGGCCCAAGGAGAGGAGAGGACTTTCCTACTAGGGAAATGGCAGAGCTGGGGCTGGAAGTGAGTCCTGGGGAAAGTGAGGCTCAGAACACTCCAGACTCCACCCTCATGCAGCTACAGTATAAGGTGGTGGTGGTCAGGGCCCTGGGAGTCAGGTGACTGCACCACAGCTCACTCGGCGCCTTCTTTGGAGCTGTCACGAGCCTTAAATGACTTAATGCGAATCAAGTGCTTGGCTACATCGAACAAATACCCAGTGATCAATAAATCTCAGACATTACTATTATCATTATCATTATTATCAAAAACATCTTCCACGCTAAACGGTCACTTCTCTGTGGGCACAGACTGTAACTTGAGTACCTCCCATTCGTCCCAAGCTAGTGCATCTGGCTCAGCGCTCTCACATCTGTTAATTGTAGCTGTGATGTTGTTCTATGTTGTCAGCTCCCCAACTCTGGGTGCGCCTGTTACCTGTTACCTACCGTACGTGGGATGGAACTGAAGGCCACCACTGCATTTAAACAGGCAGGGGACTCCCTCTCCCCCTCCACTCCCAGTCAGGCCTTGCCCCTCCTGGGCCTCAAGCTCCCATGTGTACAATGAGAACACCCCAGCTCAGTGGTGCCGGTGAGGAAGGAGGCGTGCCTTACCTGGCCCGCTGCAGAATGAGGCAATGATGGCCAGGATGCACACGATACTCAGGTACGGGATCCATGGGGCGTGGTCCTGCGAGAGAGCAGGGGTGTGGGCAGGGGAGGAGGCAGCGGGGCAGAGAGGACCTGGGTTCTCACCCCAGCACCTCCTTGATCCGTCTGCATGACCTGGGGCAGGTCACTTCACATCTCTGAGCCCTGGTTTCAGTGTCCATAAAATGGGGATAATGATAACCCCCGAGCCATTCCATCCACCTGTTTTGCAGATTGAGATAAAAAGAGATGATGCCTCCCAAGAATTTAGCAGTGTCCTCAGCATACAGCAGGTGGTAAATAAATGAGTAACTAATACTGGTTGAGTGCTTAGTCTGAGGCAGGCAATATGAGAAGTTTTACAGGCACTCGCACATTTAAAAAATTTTCTTAGTTAATCCCTCTCGTGTAAAACACTACGTTTCTACCCCTGCTCTCCTGACAGGTATGAGACAAGTTAACTGGTGTCACTAAATATGTTTGGGGGGGCTGTCACTTGTCTGGCAGGGTCGGGGTGGCTCGGTGCTGGGCATGGAAAGATGTCCAAGCAGACTGGATGTCTGATCATTAGAACACGGTGTCACCAGTGATGGGACATGGTGAGCATGTCTGGAGGTGCTGGAGCACCTGAGCCCATTCTAGAGAGATTCAGAGAGGGGAGGAGACTGTGTTCACCTTTGAAGGCTAAGCCAGGGTCACACAAGAGCCAAAGGAGAGGAAAAAAAGTTCCAGGAGAGGGTTCTACATGAGCAAGGGCACCAATGGAACAGGCGAGAACAGCACAGGGGTGAGCAGCAAATGTTCAGAGTGGAGGGTGATGGGTTGAGAGGGGGGGACAGCAGCCCTTCCATGTTCAAGTCCATTGGCTCTTGCTGAAGGAGGATCTAGGATCGAGGGGAGTGTTGTGGGCTCTTGTACACTGCCTGGCTCATTGTTGCCCTAAGTCATCCATCCATCCATGCATCCATCCATCGTTCATCCATCCATCTACCCATTGATCCATCTATTATACATCTATCCATCCATCATCTATTCATACATTCACCCATCCACCCATCACCCATCATCTATCCATCCATCCATCCACCCACCCACCCATTATCCACCCATCCATCCACCCATCCACCCATCCATCCATCCATCCATCCAGCCAGCCAGCCAGCCAGCCAGCCAGCCAGCCAGCCAGCCATTTGTTCATTTGGCAAATGAACCCAGTTCCTCCTGGGTGCCATGCACTGGGCTGGGAGGTGGGAATACAGAAATGATACAGGCATGGCCCTTGCTCCCACAACTCTATCAGAAAAGAGAGATGAGTCAACAGGGAAAGCCAATCCTGTGTGATAAGTGATACTGCAGGGTTGCCCCTGGGGTCCCTGGGAACACAGAGGAGGGTGCCTCACTGACACATGGGGTTAGGGAAGGCTTCCTGGAGAGAGAGGTTTCTAAGAGATGTGCAGAACTTCCTGAATTTGGAAAGCAAGAGAAGCCAGTTGAGCAGAGGAGGCCCCCAGGGAGAGGAAAGGGCAGGCTCTTTGGAGGCTGCCAGGCAACAGGGCTGGGGAGTGGGGAAGGGGGGACAGAGGCAGAGGAGGGCAGCCAAGCAGGGAAGAGCTCTGCGACCCTGTGAAGTGAGGCCTAGGGGGGCCCACTTGCTCCGGGCCGCCCTTCCAAACATCTGCCACAGCTGCAGAAAGACAACGTGCCAGGACATCACCTAACTGTGAGGGACCCAGCTCGGTCCGTCTGAGGGGCCCGCAAGGGCACCCTGTGCAGGTCAACCCTGGTCTGGCAGTCGGGCAGGAGGGGTCACTGCCAGCGCATCACCCCCAAGGCAGATGCTTCTGCCTCCTGCCTGGTCAGCAGCCCCAGCAGCACTTCCTTTCTGGACGACAAGCTGCTGTCCATCAGGTACAACCAGGCTAATGCTGCCTTTTTCTAGAGGTTTTTGGGACCTTAAGACATTCAGCAAATGATCAACATGTGCAACTTTCCACTCAGGGATTCATTTTTGAAAAGTGCCAAGATTTGTTGACCACTGTGACCTTGCCTCATGCTTCCCTTGGTGCTGAGCCAGACCTGAGGCACCGAGAAAGGGCTCCGTCACTGCAGGTCGTCCTGAGCAGTGCAGCGGGTAGGAGGAAACCCCAAGACCCTGGAATCTCATCCCAGCTCCGCCATTTACTAGCTGTGGAACCCTGAGCAGCTTCTTCATGTATATTTATGCCTCCGTTTCCTGTCTCCATAAAAGGGAAAAATACCTTCACCAGTGATAGTTCCCCAAGCCTACATTCCCCTAGCACTTGTCATGTTCGGGTGCCCTTCCAGGTACTGTACGTACAGTTTCTCATTTAATCCTCCTAAGACCCCTGGGTATGGGGACAACTGTCCCATTTTAGAGATGAGGCCCTTAGGAGCAGAGCCCCTGCTGGAACCCACCCCCAGAGCACCAGAGCCGGAAGCCAGCTCCATGCTGACCTCCCTCGGGGCATGACAGACACACCCTCTCACCTGCAGGGTCAGCGTGATGGTGAGGATCCCGAAGAAGAGGGCCATCAGCCCAAAGCCGCCCATGAGGAGGGGTCTCCGTCCCAGGCGCTCGATGACCAAGCCCTAGGTCAGGGTGAAAGAGAGACTGTTACTACTTCACTTCCAGCAGCAGGAGAAGGGGAGCGTGGAACCAGCACTGCGGTCATGGTTAAAGGACGGATTTGACCTTCAGGTAGCCCAGCCACTTTCTCCATGGCCACAGCCAGAGCGGCAAAGGTCTTTATGAGAAAGGGAGGGAGAAGAAAGTCACCATCCTTGAGCACCTGCTGTGTGTCCATACACTCACCTTTCCTTTCCATCTTCCTCGTTAGGGAAGGGTGGGCTTATCTGCTAAAGGAACTCAATGGACATGGTTGCTGTAGCCCTTTGCCCACTCTTTGGAGCCAGCCCATGGAAAGCAAGGGCACTGTCTCCTTATGCCCCTGTGCTGTCGATTCTATGGGGCAGACTCCCAAGGCAGGGGCCCAGGGATGGGAGTGGGCAGAGAAGGTTCTGACGTTTTCCACTCTGCCTGTGCCTGGGTGGGTCAATTTCATTCTGGCGTATGATACCAGGAAGCTCCTATGACTGCAGCTTCTGAAGCCATGTGCCCCGGCCCAGCTTCCCATCGCTGTAGGACTGTCACTGACCTCTACCCAGCTGGCCCTGTGTCTACCTCTCACTTGGGCAAAGGTGGGGCTCTTCATTGAGCTCCTTCAAATGCCAATGACCCTGAAAAATAGTGATGTAGCTAAGTTTCAGAGACAGGCAGACTTGGGTTTATATCCTGGGTCAACCACTCTCCAGATGTGTGAGCTTTGGCAAATGACTTTCCTTCCCAGAGCCTCAGGGCCTTTATCTGTGAAAGGAGGTCCAAAATACCCTCCAACAAGGCTGTCTGGAAGGGGCGGGTGGTTCAGTAAGAGACTGCGTTCAAGACACATAACAAGTCTTCCGATTATGCCAAGTACCTTCCCTCTTCTTCCCTCCCCCATCCCGGTGCACAGAAAGAAAACACCGAAGATCAGAGAGGTGAAGTAACTCAGTGGCCATCACACAGGCAGTAGAGAGAGACAGAGACAGAGATGGGTGGAGGAGGGGAGAAAACTTGAACTCACAGCATCAGCATAAAAATGCACAGCTTTTCTCCACTGGGCGATCGGGCAAGGCTTCCTGGAGGAGGCAACAGTAGTGGGAGCCTGTCAGGCAGAGGGACCAGTGGGAGCAAAGGCCCTGGTCAAATGAGTCATCCGGTTTGGATAAGGGAAGGGAGCCTTCAAGGCTGAGGGCCATGAAGCTGGAGCAGGTGCTCCTCTTGTCTGCCAGCTTCACATGATGGTTCAAGAGCCAGAGCATCAAACTGAATGGTCACAATCCTGCCCCAAAGCCTGACAGTCTTGCCACAGAAAACCCAGAGCCCTCCTCCTTTTCCTCTTTCCTCATGCCTGCTCTGAGGAGGGGGTGGTAAGAAGCCCTCTGAGGGAGCTCTCCTGGAGCTGGCGCCGGCCATTGTTCCAGTTGGCCAAGTGCACAGCGAGAGGTGAGCGGGCACATCTTTAGGCCAGCTGAGTGCCCGCAAGATCGGCCACAGCGTGCTGTCAGGGTGCCTTGGTGTGAACGTTGAGAGGACCGGTGTGGCGGGGGCGCTCTGGCATGGAAAGTCAGGGGCTCGGGCAGAAACCATGCTTGGCTGATGGCCAGATGACTGGAAAACATCTACAACTTCCCTCAGGAAGCCTTTTCCTCTGCGGCCTAGGAGGGCAGGGCAGACCCAAATGGCTAAACTTGGCCTCCCTTCACACCTGACCTGATAGAGCAGAGCACAGGTGGCGTCCAGAGGCACATGGACCTGAAAGAAGCAGACCTGAGTTCGAGTCCTGGCTCTGCACCCAGGATAGGTGATTCGGCTTCTGTGAGCCTCAGTTCCTCACCTGTGGTGAGACTGTCTTTGCACTGAGTGCAGCTATGAGATCAGAGGCCAAGAACTCACAGCGTTGGAAGTGACTCATGAACAACAGAGGCTTCCAACAAATGGCAGAAGAGGTATCATTCATTTATTCATTCATTCATTTATTTGAGAGAGAGAGCACGAGTGGGAAGAGGGGTAGAGGGAGAGAATCCTCAAGGAGACCCCCAGCTGAGTACGGAGCCCAACGTGGGGCTCCATCCCAGGATCCTGAGATCATGACCTGAGCCTAAATCAAGAGTTGGTTGCTTAACCGACTGAGCCACCCAGCTGTCCCAGAATATGTATTATTCTTGCAGTTAAGGGGTGGCCTGAGTGTGTCCCAGTTCCTGCCTCTAACTAGCTGTGTGGCTTTGAGACAGTCAGGCACCCTTCTGTGTCTTCCTTGCTCTCTTCTGATGACGACGGGTGGGGGTGAATAACGACCATTTGTCAAGCGCCTGTGTTGGGCCAGATGCCGCATTAAGCACTTATCATGCATCAATTTACTTAATCCTCATGGCAACTTTATAAAGTAGGACCAATTAATTGTCTGATAATACAGGTAAAGAAACTGAGACACAGAGGTTTTGGGAACTTGTCCAAAGTCACGTGGCTGGTAGGAGGCAGAGTTGGGATCACCTACAGAGTCTTCTCTGGTTCTTGAGACGTTAAAATTTTCCAAACTAGAAAGAGAACCAAGCCACCACTTTGTAATAGCCCCCTGTTACACCGGGATGCCCAGCACCCTCTTCCCTGACCACGTCCTCCCTTGAGGGCCAGGAGCTTCATCTTCGTTTCTCAGAACCTAGAAGAACACACGTTGAGGTGTTGCGCCAACGTGCTGGTTGGTGTTGAGCCAACGTTTGCTCATTGAGTGAAGGTTTATCTTTGTGAGGCGGGCATGACAGCTGACATATAGCAGAGGAGGACGATGAAGATGATACAGTCACTCAGTGGGAAGCTAGGCCCAGTGAGACCCATGAAGGCAGCAAGGGTCCGCAATTACCGAGAAAGTTCTAAAAGGAAAGAAGGGCCAGCATCTAAGTCATCTCTTGCCCCAACCCTCACGAGGTGGGTCCCACCAAAGGGAAGGTCCAGATAGGGGCTCTCAGGGCAAGAGCAACATGCACAGGGGAACTGGGCCCTGGGTGGGGGTGCGATTGGGGGATGGGGAAGGTCAGGGACACCCAGGATTGGAGATTCTGGGATTTGTTAAAAGTCACATAGAGCTATTGAGAGATATGGAAGTAGAATACATGCTCTCTCACACTGCACGGCTGGCTAAAAATATATATACACTCTTGGATCCAGTCATTTGCCTTTGGGGTATTTATCCTAAGAAAATAGACATATGGTGGAAGAGGCATGGACAAAGATCTTCAAATGTAGTGTGATTTGTACTAATGAGGAAACAGAAACCATCCAGAGGTCCACCCCCAGTTGAATTGCTTCAATAAATACTGGAATATCCAGATGATAATGACATAGGAGTTCACATATTTTAAAAGAATTTTAAACAACAGAAAAATCCTCAGATTATGATTCTAAGGGAAAAGGGCAGGGCATAGAGCTGTATCTCGCATATCCTCATGGACACAGTTTGGTAAATTATAATTCTGTTGAATTAATCTACCCTGGAAAAATTTATGCAAAAATAGCTTATAATGGCTAACTCTGTTTGGGGGAAATATATGATTATTCCTTTACTTGTTATTTTTCAGTCTTTTCCAAATTTTCCACAATAAGCTTTTTTTTTAATTAAAAAAGTCTAAAAGATAGACTTAGCTAAAGCATTGGAGATGCTATGCCTTGAGTCACAAATCATTACTCTTCCCCTATCCCCTGGCAATTTCTAATACCCACACATGCAGATCTTCACCATGTAAGATGTCTTTGCTACACTCTCAGGATGGCATCACCATTCCCCACAGTTGAGCTCACACTGAAGACAAAGGCTGCTCATAGCTGGAATGTGGGGCAGCTGTGAATCTTGGGTTACAGTGCCCAGTGACAGACAACTGAAATGACGAGAGAAATTACCATGATGAGCAACACAGTCACTGTGAGCCGCCGAGCACGTAAGTTGCGGTCCTGAGATAAACACGTGCTGCATTGTTACACAGAGATTAACGTGTACTTGTTACAGACTTCAGTGTTTTGAGTGTTTTTTTCTTTTTTCTTTTGGTTTGTTTTGGTTTCTTCAAAGGCACCACCAACAATTTCAGTGTCAGCAAGTGTGTCCCAGATACTAACTAGTTGAGACCCACTGTCTTACATCGTGACGCCAATATTCAAGCGCTTTGGGGTAGGTGTGGGGATCTGGCTATTCCTTTTCCCTAAAGTCTCCCGATGAAACAGTAACCTGAGCCAAGGTGGAGCTGGAAACACTGTCCCTGATTCGGAAAGAGTCTCTAAAGATGTCTAGGAAGACACCAAAGAAATAGCTGTGAGAAAGAAAGAGACAAAAACAACTCTGTCCGTCCTAGTGGGAAACCCAATCAACCTGCAGGGCTCCTTTCTTTGTCTCTGCCTCTTTTAAATTGTTTTAAAGTGCAGCCTGTCGAAAGGGATTAAACATGGCATTTCCACTCCACATTAAAGTCATTAATGAAAACATTAACTCAAGATGAACAGTGGCCTCTGAAGGTTACTGATGTCAGTTGGAGGTGGACTGTCAGCCTCCAAGAAATCCTTTCTGGGGAATCCTGAGCCACAGGGTTATTCAGCCATTTGGCAGCCATGTACCCACCACCTACTGTCCATCCCACAGTGCTAGGACCACTGGTGGAATAATACAGAGAAGGTCTTTTGTCATTGTTAGTATTTAAAAATCAACTTTACTGACTTAGATTAAATTCTTAGTTAGATTCAATAAAATGTACTGATTTTAATTGTACAGTTTGGTATGTTTTCACAAATTTATACACCCATAAAGCCATGACCACATCAAGATACAGAACATTTCTATCACTCCAAAGTTCCCTTGTGCCCCTTTCCCTAGCTGTAAGCAACCACTGATGAACTCTCCATTACTCTAGATTAGATCAGTCTAGATTAGAAGTCCCTATTGGTGATGGCTATACTTTTTCTAAAAAAAGATTTATTTATCTATTTGAGAGAGAGAGCAAGTGAGCAA